CATTTAATTTTCAATTAAAAATTCGGATTATTGCGTCAGCCGAGGGGCGGGCGCGCGGACCGGGTCCACGGGAAGTGGGGCCCACGCGTCAGCCGCTCGGTCCACGGTGGACCGGGCGCACGCGGCTGGCGGCGGTCGGCGCCGTGGGTCCCGCGCGTCAGCCGCACCCGCGGGCGCGGGCGGCTGACGGCCGGGCCCACTTGGCAGCCGCGAGGGCGCGCCCGAGGGCGGCCTCGCCGGCGCGGCCGACGGGAGGAGGACGCGCACCCGCGCCCCGATGGTCGCCGCCGGCGACCAACGGCGCGGCGGAGTGGCGCCCGAGAGAGAGGAGGGAAGGGGGAAACGAAGGGCGGTCCTTGGCTCACCCCGGGACAACGACGACGACGAGAACGGCGGCCGGAGCGGAGGAAGACGGCGGCGCGGTTCGGGAAGACGAGGGCGACGGTGCTCCGGCGGTCGGCGAGCGAAACGGAGCGGCGGACGGGGTCGACGGCGATGCGGCGATGCCGAGGGAGGTGGCGCCGAGCCGGGAGGAAGACCGGAGCGACGGCGGCGGCGAACCGAAGGTCGACGGCGACGGCGGAGAGAGAGGAGCACGGCGCTAGCACGATTCCGACGGCGAGAGCGAGCGGCGAGCGGCGGAAACGGAAGAGCGGAGCTCGGGCAACGAATATATAGCAACGGGAGGGGGAGAGCGCGGCCGGGGAGGAAGGAAACCGGCCGCGAAGATCTCGGCCGCCATTGATTGCGCCGGCGATGAATGCGGGCACGATTCGAACGAATCCGAGGGAGAGAGAGAGGGAAAAGAGGGGGAATCGGGAGAGGGAAACGCGGGGAATAATTTCCCCCTCTTGATTGCACGCGGGGCGGACGGGAGCGGCGGGATTCGCGGCGGCGGCGGCGCTAGGGCACGGACGCGGCGGCGGGCGCGGCGGGAGGAGGGCGATGACAGGTGGGCCCCACCCGTCAGCGAGAGTGGCGGGCGGGCCCGCCTGTCAGCGGCGCGCGCGCGCGCGGGGAGCCGATGGGCCGAGGGGAAAGAGAGAGAGAGAGGGAGGGAATGGGCCGAGCCGGCCCAAGAAGGAAGGGGGAGGGGGAAAAGACTTCTTTTAGGATTTTCTTTTTATAAACCTTTTTAACTTTGTTCATTTCTTTTCAATTATTATTTGTGCTCTGAAAATTCCACTAAAATTTATTTAAGCATTTTAGGCTTTTAGGAAATATACAAAAATCCTCCAAGCCTCATTTGACTTTTATCTTTGCACATTTTAATTGTTGAAGGCTTTCACATTGAATTTTAATTATTCTTTTGCACAATTTCGAGGATAGATTTTAGAGTCGATTTGGGACGCGACATTTTCTTACTCCCTGAGATCTCTCGTTTGCTTGTTTTGCCTGTTTAGGTGGTAATGATAATACGTGCTATATCAGTTTGCATTATTTTGATGCTTAGGCAGCTTTGACGCTAGCATTAATGTGGGCTAAGTTTGCTTTTTGTATAGGTAATCCGTCCAGTGCTGCCTCTGTCTCAGTAGAAGCTGGACCAAAACAAGCTGGTATCAACTCAGATGATCCTGCATGGGCTCACTGTTTCTGCCCAGACATAACCAAGAAACATCACCTACGGTGCAAGTATTGTGACAAGGTCTGCACTGCTGGAATTACAAGAATTAAGTACCATCTTGCTGGAATTAAAGGTTTCAATACTACTAAGTGTCAGAAAGTTCCAAGTCCAGTGCAGCAAGAGATGTTTGATTTGCTTACCAAGAAGACTAGTGAAAAGGAACAGAAAAACAAAGAAAAGGAAGTGGCCAGAGCTGAAGTTGACATAGAAAATTCAGATTGTGAAAGTGGCAGTGAAGGTTCAGATCATGGCAATAATGTTCTTGTGGTGAAGCCAAAGGAGACAACAGGATCTAGTAGCTCTAGATCTGTAGCAGGTGGTCATACTATTGACAAGTACTACAAGCCTCCTTCTATAGAAGAATCTGCCAGTATGACACAAAGAGTAATTAAGCTAAGCAATAAGGTTCAAACAGCATTGACAACTCAGAAAAGAGAAGAGAGGAGGAATAGAACTTGTGAGTACATATGTCAGTGGTTCTATGAAGCTAGTATTCCACACAACACAGTAACCCTTCCTAGCTTTGCTCATATGTTAGAGGCCATTGGACAATTTGGTAGAAGTCTGAAAGGGCCTAGTCCCTATGAGATGAGTGGATCGTTCTTACAGAAAAGGAAGGAAAAGGTGATGGATGGATTCAAGGAGCACAAGGAATCATGGGAGCTCACAGGTTGTTCTATCATGACAGATGCATGGACAGATAGGAAGGGTAGGGGAGTGATGAATTTAGTTGTGCATAGTGCTCATGGGGTACTCTTCTTAGATTCAGTGGAATGCTCAGGTGACAGGAAAGATGACAAATATATCTTTGAACTTGTGGACAGGTACATAGAAGAGATAGGGGAACAACATGTTGTCCAAGTGGTGACTGATAATGCTAGCGTCAACACAACTGCAGCAAGTCTATTGACAGCAAAAAGACCATCAATATTTTGGAATGGATGTGCTGCTCATTGCTTGGATCTCATGCTCGAGGATATTGGGAAGCTTGGACCAGTTGAGGAAACCATTGCTAATGCAAGACAAGTGACTGTTTTCTTGTATGCTCATACTAGGGTGTTGGATTTGATGAGAAAGTTTCTTAACAGAGACTTGGTTCGCTCTGGGGTTACACGATTTGCCACAGCTTATTTGAATCTAAAAAGCTTGTTAGACAACAAAAAAAGAGTTAGTAAGACTATTTAAATCAGATGAGATGGAGCAATTGGGTTACTTGAAGCAGGCCAAGGGGAAGAAAGCCAGCAAAGTGATCAAATCTGAAACCTTTTGGAAAAATGTTGACATTGCAGTTAATTACTTTGAGCCATTGGCTAACGTGTTGAGAAGAATGGACAGCGATGTACCATCAATGGGATTCTTCCATGGTTTAATGCTTGAGGCGAAGAAAGAAATTTCTCAGAGATTCGATAATGATAAGAGCCGCTTCATAGAAGTTTGGAATATCATTGATAAAAGATGGGACAACAAGCTCAAGACTCCACTACACCTGGCTGGGTACTATTTGAACCCCTACTACTACTTCCCAAATAAGCAAGAGATCGAGAGTGATGGATCATTTAGAGCAGGTGTGATTTCCTGTATTGACAAGTTGGCTGATGATGAAGATATCCAAGACAAAATAATTGAAGAACTCAACTTGTATCAAGATCAGCATGGGAGTTTTGGACACGAAATTGCCGTAAGGCAGTGAAAGAACAAAAATTTCAATCCAGGTTCAGATCTCAACATGTGAACTTAATTTTATTGCTGAATATCATTTTTGTTGTAATTTGTGTAATGTTTATGCAGCAAAATGGTGGCTGAACCATGGCACAAGCACACCAAATCTTAGGAAGTTGGCTGCAAGGATTTTGAGTTTGACCTGCAGCTCCTCAGCTTGTGAGAGGAACTGGTCAGTTTTTGAACAGGTAAAAAGAAATTTGTGACCTGTAGCTTTATGTGCATGCTGTCTATTTTGAATTATAATGCTTATTTATGGAATTTAGATCTGACCTGCAGCTTTGTGTTCACTACTTGGCTTATAGGTTCATACAAAGAAGCGCAACAGGCTACTTCATGAAAGGATGCGAGATCTGGTGTTTGTTAAATTTAACTCCAAGTTAAGAAATAAGAGAGAGAACAAGGGTAGAGATCCTATAGAGAAGGAAGTGGATGATGTTGTGGCAGATGGTGACAATGAATTCATTACTGGTGTTGTGCCTTCATCAAGTGAAATGGATCAACAATGTGCAAAAGAGTCACAGCAGCACACAACACCACAAGCACCAGCACCAGCTAAAAGGAAAAGGCCTGTGCACGCTAAGAAGAGGAAAGTCAGAAGCCTACAGTCTTTGATGCGCAATGCCCCAGTGCATCCTGAAGCTCCATCATCCGACTCAGAAGATTGTGATGATGGTATTCCAATGCAGACTTCTGATTCTGATAAGTCACCCTCTCCCTCTCCCTATGTCTCTGAGACCGATGATTGATGACTAGAAGAAATGAAGATTGCAATATTGCCTCATATTAGTAATTTAGTATCCACTATCCAGAATTCTTGATGACCTTTGTGTTGTACTGTTGTCTTTATTCTAGAATGCTGTACTTTTGTGAAACTGATGTTTCAGTATTCTGTTAACCACTTAGCCTGTGATGTAATGTACTCATATGAACCTGTAATGTACTCATTTGAATTGGTTATGTATCAATTGGTAATGGTTATGAAGTTATGCCAAGATCATGTCTTTTATTTATTTATTTATTTGCAAAAACAGCTAAATGGCTTAGCTGCAGCTATCTCCAGCTATAGCTGTGCTTAGCTGTTGAGAAGGTCAGCAGCTAAGAGGCTTAGCCGGAGATTTAAAACTTTGCTCTTAACACTCATAGCTCTAATGGACCACACATGTTAAATCTTAATTGAACCAGGGTGTCACATATAAGGTCCGTTTGGTAGAACTCCAACTTTTAAATTTAACTCCAGTAGTTGGTTCTGTAGTGAAGTTGTGGAGCTGTCTAAACTCAGCTCCACCTCTCTAGTTTATTTGGTTCACCTAGCTCCCCTCTAAAACTGTTTGGCTGAGCTCTAGCTCGAGAAAAGGTGGAGTTGTAGTTGGAGCTGTGCAAACAGGCGCATATGCATAGTCTTCATGTTTCTAACGCAAATATTTGAGAAGTTATTCATAGATAAAATTTGACATTAGTGTTATCCAATACGACAAATATTTCAACCTCTCCTTAGCCTTGACATTTTATTTGTCTTTTTTTCATGAAATAAACGTCAATATACGGTTTGGCACACACGTATATAGTTTGGCGTCGCTTGGTTTGCAAAATTAAAAATTATTGGCCACAACTACTGCTCCAACGACTTCAAATCTATTTAACAATCCCAACAATGTTGCCTCGCCGCCAGTCCAGTCTCCAGTCCAGCAAAGAGAGCGAGACCAGAAAAGAGACAAACGCGTGGAGACAGATCGATAGCGATGCGGCCTAGCATGGCCGGTGTCTTCACCCATCTCGCGTGGCCGCTGCTTGTGCTTGTGCTGTGCTCATGGCGGATTATCGCAGCTGCTCAGGCTCAGCCGCGAACTGATCCAGTCGAAGGTGAGTACGTGATCATCATCACGCAGTAATTGTTACTTCAACTGTTCAAGCGTCTTACTAGTTAGCTTCTTTGGTTAATATTGAGTTCGCTAACCCCGCGCGTGATTGCAGCGGCGGCGTTGAACACGATCCTGGGGAGATGGGGCAAGACGGCGTCGCCGGAGTGGAACATCAGCGGCGAGCTCTGCAGCGGCGTCGCCTCCGACCTGTCCAACTGGGACGACTACCCAAATCTCAACCCGTTCATCAAGTGCGACTGCAAGTACAACAACGGGACCCTCTGCCACATCAACAAACTGTAAGTACATACACCCCCACCTCCATCATCTCCTGTTTTCATAGATAAGCTGTATGCACACCAGGTGCTCGACGCATTGCCTTGCCTGCCTAAAAGAATCCATGGCACAGTCGACTGAAAGCTTGTGCGATATGATAAATCTGACAAGTGATGGTGTTTGGATTACTATTTGCATAGTGGTTTGTTTGGGGTGGGTGGTAAGGGGAGGCGGGTATGGCTGTTGACCAGAGCAGAGGCGAGCTGAGCGAAGTTGAGTCGCCGGCGGCCGCGGCGTAGGAGCTTAGGTGGTGTGGAGAGTGGAGACTTTTGGGTAGGATGCTGCGTGCGGATATTTTCTTCTGAATTTGGTGCCGCGGCATGTGGGCCACATGGGGTTGCGCCGTTGCCACATGTAGGACTATATATGCTGTTTACCTAACACAACAAGTAAGCATGTGGTGAAAGTTTCCATTGAAATGGCTATATGACAGTTTCTAAAACAAATTTATGTCAGCAAATGTTTAGTACCACCTACTACTAGATTTCAGTTTTGCACGTATAGTCGTATAGATCTGTCTGCCTTTGCCTTGGTACACCTTTCAAACAGTTTTGCCAAACAATAAAAAAACTAAAAGCTAAGAAACCTTCTAAAGACCAAGAGCTTTTTTTTAGAAAGAGGAACCAATTTTGCCTCCAAAAATTTCATTTGTGAAGGCAAGTATAAGGTGGCAAAAAATGCATATATGGGATCGTTCACATGGCGCAAATCAACGCGAATGGTTCTCTTAATTTCCTCTCTAATGCTATATGCGATGATGCATTTTCTATTTCCCATATTGATGTGTGTCGGTGAAGTGGGAACCAGGTTCCCACTACCGGTTGCGGCTCGGTGCACCTAACGACATGTTATCTGGTGGGATGATCCATGTCGCTATTAATCAGCTCGGGTCTATTTCAATGGCCGTGGGATAGGACATGGTCTTGGGGCCTGCCATGGAGATATTCATATGACAACAGGTTAGTATTGGCCGAGCTCGGGGCAGGAGCTCGGGCACAGCTGCCACTTGCCCCCGGGCTTGTCTCTTGTAGGCTACTCGGGCCAACAACAGCGCATTAACTGTGACAGGTTGCATCTTGCTGATTGCTGCCATCGAAAAAGTGTACCGAAGGTAATAGATAGCGTATAGCGGGTCGGTACCGGATTGGTGCGTATGTAGCGGATCGCGGATAGCAGACGCTAAGTTTCAATAGCGGCATTTAATCATCGCACATATTTGAATGTATATATAATGAATAGTGACTTTATAAAAATTAACAAATCAACTGAGAAACAAATTAGTGATAGATTAATACATGTATAACCTATGAGGATAAGTAGAGATTTAGTAGCACTTGAAGAGTTGATGTTGTGTTCCAACTCGTTAGATGTTACGACTCACAAGAATACAATGTTTTGGGAGACAAAACAATTAATAAACTCGTTACTTGTTATGGGTTAGTGGTCATATAAAATAGGCTCACACTACAGCAGTCCACAAAATCGAATTGCAGCCGCTGTAGCAGTCCGCTAAGTGAAAATAGTGGGTGCTAAGTTCCAAGATGCTATATCTAGTATACGTCGTACCGGTAGTGGTAGGGTCCGCTACCGCTATAGTGGCAGCTAAAAACGCTATTTATTATCTTGAGTGTACCTTACATTAAAAGCAATATGACATATATTTACCCGACGTGTAACTGAGGCCACGGGACGACGCTTGAATGGCCGCCATGCTTTCATCATCCCTACGGGGGAGGGTGTGGGCTGTCAGATGGTATGGTGGACCATCGTGCTGCCTTGCTTGGCCCATAGCCTCTCTACATGTTCTACCACCTAGGGCTGATAGCCTGATAGGCAGACGCCATAGGCTTCAGCAACTCCCCAAGCTTTTACTGCAACCCTTGCATGCGCAGATAGGATGCACGGTTGGAGAAGAAGGCCTCCTTCCCATTTGGCCCTAGGGAGGCACACCAGGATCAGACGACTGGGTCCATGCATCAGCAAGTGACAACATATCTCATAACTAACCCCTGTGTATTGATGCCCATTTGTAAGAGTCTGGCCATTGTGGTATTCCCCCATCAACTATAAGAGGAGAGTTAAGGCCATCGAGAAAAAGGATCGACCCCAAAAACTAGTTCATGAAAAATCCACACTCTTGTAGCAGATCCATTCAACCATAATACAGAACAAAACATCACAAGAGTAGGGTATAATCACCATTGTCTCATTTACCATCGTAGCAAACTCTTGGTCTTGCACTCCCGTCCCCTGGGCCAAACTCACAAAGAAGGGTCCATTGATTCCCGGTACAGGAGCCCATTCTTCGACAGCATGTTTTCCCTTTCTAGCTATTATCGTCTTCCTTTCCATACCTAGCACTAACCAGCATGAACTCAGAAGTGATCTGATATCAGAAATCCAGATAATTTCAACTTACTCATTCACTTTCAAATCAATTTTCTGAAATTTTCAACTCATCACCTTAGTCTTTCTTCCGAAGACCTTATATATGTTTGATATCATAAACTTTCATATGAAAACAAACTCAAAAAATTCATACTCAAAACATTGAATGTTGTATATGCTCTCATACAAAAAGAGGTGTAACACATTGCTGTCAACAAGATTTTTATTTCAAGGAAACTCTTGGTTTATATTTTAATAGTAATATACACTAAAATTATAAATAATACTCCACGACGCTTTTCATGTCCAATGTTTACATTAGAAAAGCAAGGGTTGCAAAAGAATAACCAAATTATTAGCATCGTGTATAACTAAAGAGGGTAAGGCCACTAGCGCACCTAATTAACTAGTTTAATCCAAAGAGAAAGAAGCTAGGAATATTTCTGGAATATTATCATGTTAAAAGTAATCCTTAAAATCTGAAAAATTGGTGAGGTTGCCAACCAACAAAGTCCATAAACGCGAGACTATAGACCAGGATCGGTTCATGTGAATTTGAGGAACTTCTAAGGATTTTAGACATTATTTGGAAGCTAATAGAAGCCTAAGCAATAAATTCAACTCAACATAAGATATCCATCTTTTGTTGTAGTATAATTTATGTATACTAAATTATTTTTTACTTAGAAAATTCACATAAACCTTGAGCTTAAAGATTTTAGATATTACTTTACTAGTTAACCAATCCAATACGAGAGTGGATGCTAAAACAATCCAATATAAGTGTCCATTCTTTGACTTCCCTAGATCTTCCACTAGTACAACTTCCCATAAAGTTATGGAGGCAAGGAGTTATAGAAGTATTCATATATGATTAAGTATGCTTGGTTATTAAAACTAGACCAGTGCTCAAACCAGTGGCTCCAATGGTTCAACATGTTGACTAGTTTAGCCACTGGTCAACTATCAACCGCCAATTTAAAAATAATAATAATGCAAATTTCTTGAATGTTTGGTTACAAAAAGCATAAGTAAATTTATTCAGTGCTTTAGATAGGAAAATTGTTGGGATAATAAACACCCATAAAGCTTGTACTTTGATACCCCTATAACTAGTAAAAATTATTGGGATCCTACAACCATCAAGTTTGAAGTGGATAATTCACTGAATATAAGGTTTTGAGCACAAAGAAATTTGTAGAGCCTTCAAGTATTCCCCGGCTTTAGGTGAGACATTGACCATCCGTAGTTTTAGGTGGTTCCGTGAATACTATTCGACCGGTTTCTAATGGTTTGTATCATTGTATGTATGAATCTTCCCACCTGGTTATGCCATCCAGATCTTCATTATTCAATTATTCATCTATTTACTAAAGACAAGAAAACATATAAATAATTGTCTTTCCATATCTGTCTTGGGGCCTGTCTAGGGGGAGCTTTTGGCAGCTGCAGCTTCTTCCAGAATCAGAAGCTCCCCTAAACGGTCCTGTTTTTCATCTAGATTCTGAGAAACTGTAGTTGTAGAATCAAGAAAATAAACTAGAAGCCAGAAGTTGGAAAAGCTTTTCCAGATTCTCAGAAGTTGGCTATCAACCAGCTGCTTCTCAGAATCAGGATGTTTTCTCCACATAGATAGCAGTAGCAGAGATACCTTTTCCCCTTCCAATCAGGATGTTTTCTCCACAATTACTAGCCAATATTTATCTCATATGTTTTCCACATTTATAGTTAGATATTATTCCTAGACCGACAGCCATACCAGTCCATCCTAAATTTGCTACATGCTAGGAGTTTCGTCTTCTTGGGGGAAAACCAAACTGTTTGAGTTAAAAATTGAAATATCCCAGGCACAATTCAAAAGCTAAAATGTATTCCTTTTACTTATCAGTAATACTTGTTTATTTATGCAGGAGGGTGACTAAGTTGGATGTTGTTGGTCCAATACCTTCAGAGCTGCAGAATCTCACCTATCTAGAGGACCTGTATGATACCTAAATCTTGTCATCTTAATCATTATAGTGAAGTGTTAGCTGTATATCAATGTTTCGCAGAATATATCATTTCAGTCACATGTTTTGAATGCTCAACTGCCTATTTCCTTGTGAAAACCAGCGAATAGTAGTCAGTTGTGCAACATTCTTGTTCTGGCTAATTGACCTGATGTTTCTGGTGTTGTTTCAGGAACCTGGGTTATAATTACTTGACTGGTGCCATGCCATCATTCATGGGAAAATTCACTTCCATGAAATATTTGTAGGAGTTATATATTAATTTATATATTCAAGTGCCATCCATTGGTGTTTTGTCTTGACTACTTTTCATCATTCAAAGGGCCTTGCCTTTCAATCCACTGTCTGGACCACTTCCGAAGGAACTTGGCAACCTGACCAATCTTTTGTCACTGTAAGAAATTGTATCAATCTTCAACTATATATTAGGAACAGCCTGAACTATTATATTACATGACTTCTCATAAAAAAGTTAGAAAGAACTAATAACTCTTCAATAGTAGGCATCTCAGTGTGACTTCCCTTTTCCTGTGGTGTTTCATATGTTGGAATAAAATTGAGCTAAAAAAGGCTTGAGAAAATTCTGATGATGAATATTGCATCTCAAATCAAGAAAAACTATTCCTCTGATATTTTGTTGAAGGGAATAATTTATAACTCTAGTGATTTTTTTTTATTCAGGGGCATCAGCTATTGTAATTTTTCTGGGGAACTTCCTGATGAACTTGGCAATATGACTAGTCTTAAGCAATTGTAAGATCCAGCGTTTCTGATTTCCCAATGCTACTTCTTAAAAGAACTATTATTGAATATGATAATTTCTGCAATGGTTCAATAACAGGTACATTGATGGTTCCGGATTCAGCGGTCCATTCCCTTCGACATTCTCTAAACTTAAGAACCTAAACATCTTGTACAGTCAATCGAGAGCCTGACCTGGTATATATGTCCATTATTTTTTTATGTGCTAAATATCAAAATACTTTGGTGTGCCTGCAGGAGGGCATCAGACAATGAATTCACAGGGAAAATACCAGATTATTTTGGGCGCATGACTAATTTGGTGGATGTGTAAGATTAATTATATTAACCTGTTGACACTACACTTGGTATATCTTGAGACAGATGGAAATTACGTTCTTCCATTTGAACCTGGCAATAGCATTTTTCATATTTTAGTCCTCACTTAACAGAAATGCATGCATCTTTCACATTTTCCGGCATGGCTTACCTTTTTCTTATACTAAAATGGACCTGCAATGTCCCTACATTTTCTCTGAAAGTATAAACTTGTAGGGCTTTCCAAGGAAATTCTTTTGAAGGACCAATTCCCGCAGGTTTCTCTAATCTGACGAAATTAACAAACTTGTAAGTAGATTTGTTTTTTTGGCATCTTTGGTCCTTTGATGGCTGAGAAGTTCAAGATTGATAACTGGTTTGTGAAATACAATTGAGCAGACGGATTGGTGATATTGTAAATGGAAGCTCTTCATTGGGATTTATCAGTAATATGACATCTCTGAGCAACCTGTATGTGATGCCTTTTGCTATAGAGCATTAGACCTTACAATATTGTCAAAGTTGCAAGTAACCTAGATTGTTGTTACAGAATATTAAGGAACTGCAAATTATCCGGCAATCTTGAAGCAATAGATTTTTCTAAGTTTGCAACATTAACCTTACTGTAAGTTTTCATTACTTGCCATGGTGCCAGTTATAATGCTTTTGGTCATTGACTGGAATTGCGAAGCATCTGTTCAAGTACCTTTTTCTCCTGTGGCACAGGGACTTGAGTTTTAACAGTATCACAGGACAAGTTCCTCAGTCCATCCTGAATCTGGGAATGCTTGAATTCCTGTAAGAAATTCTTTTTTACATTAATTCAATTTATACAAGCACCTGTTAAGATGATGTCCATGTTTCCTGAATCTGGGAATTCTTGAATTCCAGTAAGAGTGTTCTTTCTTTACAGCAATCCCATTTATAGAACACTTGTTAGGTGATGTGCATGTTTCATTATCTTGTATATTCAGGTTTCTTGGGAACAATAGCCTTACAGGAAATTTGCCAGATGTTATAAGCCCCTCATTGAAAACAATGTAAGTTAGAAACAACCACCATAGAAGTATAGCATATTTTTTTAATAATGCAATGGTGTATTCATTTCATATGTAATAACTCTAGTCTGTTTGCAGAGATTTTTCCTATAATCAGCTCACTGGAAGCTTTCCTTCTTGGGATAGTCAGAACAATTTGCAATTGTAAGTGTAAAATTCTGAAATCGTCTTACCAAGGAAAAAAAGAGGTATTCTAACATTTTCTCTTGTGCAAGGAATTTGGTGGCGAACAACTTTGTTCTTGATAGGACTACCAACAGGTACTTATGGCATTTTGTTAAACTTTTGCAAGAGATTAGTTGTAACAAACTCTTTCTCACGACGTGCACAGTCATGTACCTTCTGGATTAAACTGCCTACAGCAAGACACCCCTTGTTTTCGTGGATCTCCAGAATGTATAGCTTTTACTCTTCACTAACCGCAGCATTCAATAGGACATCAGAAATTTCAATAGTGCTCATTGTTATTGCATCGCTTAATTGTAGATTATTCCTTTGCTGTTGACTGTGGAAGTAATAGCTCGACGAGAGGCTCAGATAATACTATTTACGAAGCAGATCCTATGAACCTTGGGGCTGGATCATATTTTGTTACTGGTGAAAAAAGATGGGGTATCAGTAATGTAGGAAAATTTGACCAGGCCACAAATGGAATTGACATAATATATAGCTCCGACCATTTTCAGAATACAGTTGATTCAAAATTATTCGAAACTGCAAGAATGTCAGCATCATCGCTGAGATACTATGGTCTTGGACTTGAGAATGGAAATTATACCGTTCTGCTTCAATTTGCAGAATTCGCATTTCCAGATTCTCAAGGTTGGCAAAGCTTAGGAAAGAGGATTTTCGACATATATGTCCAGGTAAAAATGGATTGCATTTAAATTAATTTGTTTACTGATTTACTGAATCTTTATATTCTTTGTCTAAAAGAATTATTGGCATTTGCATAGGGTGCTCTAAAAGAAAAGGATTTCAATATAAAGAAGACGGCAGGTGGAAAATCTTTTACCGTAGTTAATAGGAATTACACGGCAACTGTATCAAAAAACTTCCTTGAAATTCATCTCTTTTGGGCCGGCAAGGGCACTTGTTGCGTACCTACTCAAGGTTACTATGGCCCAATGATATCAGCATTAAGCGTCACTCCTAGTAAGAACGATTATTAAGTAATTTCTTGAACTTTCATTGGCTTCCAATAAGTAAAACAATTATTTTCAGATTTTACTCCTACTGTGCGAAATGGTATACCCAAAAGGGGAAATAGAACAGGTGTAATTGCCGGAGTACTGATTGGTTCATTAGTTCTTGGATTAGCAACCTTCTTTGGAATATTTATTGTGGTAAAGAAGCGAAGAGCAATGGCACAGCAGAAAGAAGGTATCATTTTATTAGTCAGTATTTCAGACAGTAAATTTATGAAATGATTTATTCTTTCTCGTCTGTCTGGAAAAATTGCAGAATTGTACAACCTGGTTGGACGGCCTGATGTTTTTAGTAACGTTGAACTCAAGCTAGCTACTGACAATTTCAGTTCCAAAAACATTCTTGGGGAAGGTGGATATGGGCCAGTGTACAAGGTTGTGTCTGATTCCTGCAATTAATCTTGTGAAACTGCAACTGACTATTTATCTGATTTGATATTTAAGTGTAGCATTTGGGCAACGTTTTGGCCACGCTCAAAATATACATGTAACTTTTTAGGAGTGTTTGCCTATGGCAGGGTAAGCTACCTGATGGGAGAGTAATAGCTGTGAAACAACTTTCTCAATCATCTCATCAGGGGAAAAGTCAATTTATAACCGAGGTTACAACAATTTCTTCTGTGCAACACAAGAATCTTGTGAAATTGCATGGCTTCTGCATTGACAACAATGCACCCTTGCTAGTTTATGAGTACCTTGAAAATGGAAGCCTAGATCAAGCACTCTTCAGTAAGTACACTTCTGCAAATTGCTAGCACAAGTAAAATCGTGTTTCCTTGTATGTACTAATAAAATTAAAATCGTGTTTCCTTGAATGTACTAATAAAATAATTATCTGCATTTTGTCATCATTTTTATTCTTGAGGCTTTATCGAGATTTTTTTAATGTACAGGAGACAACAACTTAAACCTAGACTGGGCAATGCGCTTTGAGATTATTTTAGGCATTGCAAGGGGCATAACTTATCTTCACGAGGAGTCGAATGTGCGCATCGTGCATAGGGACATAAAAGCCAGCAATGTCCTACTTGATACGGATCTCACCCCAAAAATCTCTGATTTTGGACTCGCTAAACTCTATGATGAGAAGCAGACTCATGTGAGCACAAGAATTGCAGGCACATTGTAAGTACAATTTACCATTTTCTCTTCTTATGGATGGAATCTCAAAATTAAAGCTGCTCTTAAACTTGTTTGACCTTTTTCAAGTGGCTATCTAGCTCCGGAGTATGCAATGAGAGGTCGTTTGACAGAAAAGGTAGATATTTTTGCATTCGGGGTGGTCATGTTGGAGACTGTTGCTGGTCGATCGAATACCAACAACTCCCTCATGGAAAGTGAGATATATCTCTTTGAGTGGGTAAGATGATAAAAACTCTTTCCATCCACACCAGTACACTAGTGTGCATTATCTTCTGCTTACTGAACCTATGTTCATTTATAGGCCTGGGACCTGTATGAAAAAGAGCAACCTCTCGGAATCGTTGACCCAAGTCTTATGGAATATGATAAGGATGAAGCTCTCAGAGTCATACGGGTTGCACTCCTCTGCACACAGGGCTCGCCGCACCAGCGACCACCAATGTCGAAGGTCGTGGCAATGCTCACCGGAGAAGTTGAAGTAGCTGAGGTTGTCACGAAGCCGAGTTACATCACGGAGTGGCAGCTAAGGGATGGGAATAGAAGCTATGTCACCACCAGCTACTCAGGATCTACTACCCATGAGTTCAACAGTAAGGACGAGATTAAGCCTTTCACCTAGTCGCCAATGATCACAGGACCTAGTCTTGCGGAAAGGGGAAAGTAAAGTTGAATTACTCTAGGTGAAGTGATAATATTGGACACTGTCTCGTTAATACAATACGCTGATTTAAAGTCATATTTACAGGTTGATGAACATTTTGTAAAATCATAGTGATCACTAAGTTGTGATATTGACACAAGTTTATAATACTTTTGATTTATAATGATTTTAAGTTGTTGCACCAACTTGAGTTAAGTTAGAAAGAACATGTGCTCGGAATATGGTTTTGTGGTGTCCGTGTGCATGTGTTGCTTGAGGTGGGACTGTCAAGGTGGTTAGATCCAAATAATCAACTATGCCATGCAGGATGCTCAAGCTAGAGAATGGTGCACATAAGTCGAGGTTTGCTTGCGGCATACATGGGAAGTGACAAGGGTTAGGGGTCATACTGGGTGATCTGAAGTTATGGGTATATAAAACATTTGATGGCGGTACACCAATTGAGCAAGACACCCTTGTTGAGTGAAAATTATAGTTTGACTTTTGCTCTTTCATCTAGAGTTCAGTTCATGAAATTATAGCGGAGTGCTTTCAACACACTTTAAACATTTTGATATAATAAAAATCATATGCATGTAAAGATAAGTGTGGTAATGCCACTCTCTTTTACATTATTCTAGTTTTATAGGCTTCATATTTTAGGCCGACATTGTTGGATTTGATTTTTGAAAACCGTACTAGAACAACTAGAAAAGAGTTCCCTTTTTGCCCTTTTCTTTGGGATGAATTTTTAATCTATGTTTTCTTTCTTCCACTGTAATTCACCTAGCTTGGTTTACCGTGTGTTCCGATCCTACACGTTTCATGCTAGCTTCTTGTGCATGCTCCACCACTGCGCGCTCATCCGTCACTGCCTACAAGGCTGGCCGCCAACCCTCTCCTCCCTCTTACCATATAAAAAATTTATTGTCATCTACCTTATGTCTCTCACTTAGTCATCCCTCTCTCTCACTCGTTCATAGTGGCGAATGCGGCGCACACGAAGGTAGGTCAGTGGTGTGGCATACGTCGACGACAGCCTCAGGAGCTGTCGCTCTCTCTCACGGATCTAGCGGTGGCGACGAAGTGGTGGGGGTCCACAACTAGGAAAAAAAAGGTCTTTCCTGGAAGTCAAAATATGCTTTTCCTGACGGCTAGGCTAACCGCCAGTGTCTAAAGGCCAGTGAAAATCTAAGGTTTTCACAAGCGGAACTTCAACCACTAGCGATAATTGTTTTCCCTAGAGGTTGTGTAAAACCGGCTGAAGTATACGGGCCGCCAGAGATAATCGATTTTAGGGCAAAAAAACCCATGAAGCTGCCCTCTAGCCGCTAGCAAAAATTAATATGCCCACATGATGCTTCCCTGCATTCCCAAATCCACATCCCCAAATTTCAATTCCCAAATCCACAACAAGCACAAATTCCACAAAAATGTTACATTCACATCACAACACAAATTCTACAAATTCCACATCACAAATCGAGACACAAAAATTTGACATCACAAAGATTAAGAGGTGAGGATGAATTCGTTGCTCCTGAGGGAGGGCGAGAGTCCCTCATCTCATTTGCTAGCTTTTTGGTGGGAAAGGCCTCTTGCGATTCTACAATTAGTATCAGAGCCTGACTACTTCAATATTTTTGGCCCAAGTGACACTAGAGTGTGAAGGCCTAATGCACCGTGAATGCTTTTAGGACCTGTATATATACTTAAGGGAACATTGGTGTATGGTGAATGGGTGGTGAATAGCTAAGCGACACCAATCTGTGAAGCGGGAGATTGCTGAATAGTCACATATTGGTTATGGAAGGGCAATAAAGCAAATATATAAGTGAGGGATCCCTCGCCTCATTGGCTAGCTTTTGGGTTGGGAAATATCCGTTGCGATCCTATAAAATCCTAACTACAACCCTACAAGCTTTGGATTTGACATGGATAACATGATGGTATATTGAGGAATAGAAAGATAAGAGGATGGGAATACCATATATGAGGCGGGACAGATGAGGAAGAAGTCATTAAGGTCATTTGTCCACTTCTCTCTTACTAGCTAAAGGCCCATGCGCTGAAACAGATATATAAGAGATAAAAGCAAAAACAAAAATTATAATTTTATAGCATAATTGGTGGCTTAGCAGATGTTGGAGGTAGCGGCGGTGGTCACTATTCCTTTTGAGTTCCAATGCCCTCACCCTTCCATTGGTAGCAATTCTAGGGCCATCCACGTGTGGGGACCTTATGGCCCCACATGCCAGTTTGTGATACTAGAGGCAGACTCGAGCACCAGCACTTGCATTATTTAAAATAGTATAGGTAGTCAGCAAAATATAATATTTTAATGCCATGGGTGTCCACCGCTACTGGCAAATAAACACAAATTGGGAGTGTCTTCTAGCAAAATCAAATGTTTACACCTTTTAGCAAAGACCATAACTTTTAGATGTGCTCTAGCAAACTTTGTCGAGAGAAATTGTACCCAAGGCAGAGCATGCATAACTTATTTAAATTCCTCATTGGAAAGTAATCATTTTGCGTGAAGATTTATGGTCCCCCAAGACACTGTTGGTATTTGTTACGGTCATAGATAAATTTGCAAGCGCAAGGATACTGATGTAGCACTTCACCTCAGGGTATGCAAAGGGTATCGAATCATAGGGAATGTGTGTGTATAATCTAAGAAACATGATTCATTCAAAGACAATAACTAAATGATACGCTTAGGATAGAGTATTTCCATGGGTTAATAATCTTAATTAAGTTAATATAAAACTCAATCAGTTGCTTCGGACACCAGCTCTTCCCTGATTTGCCAGTTGATTCCGGCATGTAACTCTATGATGTACCTGAATAGGGAGGATAATGAAGGGACAAGGTTATCACCACCTGTCGCCTACCTCTGCCTTTCGTGGAGCACACAACACATGAAGGCAACCTCTAAGCTAGACACTACGTCTATCTTTTCAATTACTACTCTAGTCTCGGCCAAGAACTTCATTCTTTATCCAGTGTATTAGTACTAGAGCACTCAGTATAAATACTATGAACCCACAATGATGAGAATATATCTTACTATTAAATAAGAAAAGTAAATATTAAAGGAAATCACAAATACTTACTTATATCGAACAATCATTCACCGAGGTACAAGATCAGAGAGAGCGCCTACATCTCCGGCACTCCTCCAGAACTTCGCCAGGAGAGAACTCTGACATTTGGGGCACTCCTTCTGGAGCTTGCCCTCACTCTCTTGCTATATTCTAACTCTACTACACAGTAGCCTAAATATAAAAGTGAGTTGTACTTCACTTTGTTATGTGTCTTGAGGGTGAGATGAACACATCCTTTTATAAGGCAGTTATGACAATTGTGGAGGTCAGTTTTGTGAGCCCCCGATTTTACACACCGGAAACCCCATGTGTCTTACAATACCATTCCCTAGATCAGTCGATGTTACACACATGGCACAGTTGAATATCTCAAGTTAACATCATTATACGGGTCGAACTGTACATTAATAATACAAGGGTATCCCAAATGGGACCCAAATAGACCCAACATGGTCAGGTACATTACAAAATACCAAAAGAAGTAGATAAGATAGCGGAAGCGAAGCAGCGGCGGTCCAACGTACTCCACAGGCATCGACTGTATAACTGGACATTTGATTTTGGCTCTGTACTCGGACTTGTTTGGGTGGAACATTAGGATTGGATTTGATTCGGTCGCCTAGTCGCCTAAGAACACGACTTAGGATTTCTTTGCGACCGCTTGAATGAAAAGACGACGATATCGACGAACTTTAGATATCGACGGATTTTAGAAACGACGCTTGGCATAAGAATCCATGCGACGCGGTAAGGTTTCAACAGTAGGGACAATATAGACGATAGGTTTAGGAGCGGCATATGGCATACAAAACCATTCGACGCGGTAGGGTTTTAAAGGTAGAGACGATATCGTCGACGTTTGGATCGATGCACGATTCTAGAGTTTTCAAGGGTAGAGATGGAATCAAGGATATACGGGTCGACGCACGACCATTAAATCCATCGAACGATTTTTGGGTTCTCAAGCGAATGGCCGAACTTGTGGATTTCGAGTAGAAGGAATAGGGGAGAAAGGAATCCAGGGAGAGCCGAGTCGAATAGACGGGATAGCTCAGGTTCAACTCTAGTGTTCAATCGGTCTGAGGAAGGAAACGATGTTATGACAAACGAAAGGGTTTCGGGGCTTTGATTAGCTTCACCGAAACGCTTGACAAATCAGTCGGAGAGGAAAGAGGGCAAGGAAGGATGTCGATTGGAGAACATCCTTTTGGTGGATCGATTTAATCGCGGTATTCCAACGATTCAAAGAAACGACGGGGTATTACAATAACTTGGGAGGGTTGAAAGGACAGAGAATGGATATTACTCTGAGAGGCGGTTCTGGGGGAGATACTGAGTTCGAGTAATTCCAGACACTAGAATAATTGGTTCAAGAGGGGTTCGATTGAGAAGGAGGATCGAACTACGGAATTTGATTCTGGAGGAAAGCACGACAATGATTGGGATTCACATGGTTAGATTAACCGAGATCCTTGGCACAAACATACAAATGCACACAAATAACACAAATCCCATTATGCAGGTCAGCCATGCCTTTCAAGGAGGAAAACTAGACTTTTTCGTGAATTCTTTTGAAATAAATACTTTTAAGATTTTAGTTCATAAATACAGTTTTGCTAGTAAATTCCTTCTAGTCTTTATTTGTAAAATAATTCCCAAACACCTATAATTTCAAAATAGGATTTTCATAAGTTAACTAATATTAGCCCTCATTTGTAAAATAGTTTCCTCGGGGAAATATCTCTCAAAGTATGTTTTCTAAATATTTAGTATTTATTTTTATTCATAATACAAATACCTCAAATAGGTTTTACTTCATAGAAAGGGTTTTCAGAAAGACAAATGGCATTTGCAAACATTTTCTAAAGTAATATATTTCATCATCATGGTTCTTTTAGCAAATAATATTTGAATCAAAAATATATTTTGTTTCTAGATTTCCGTCCCCGTGGTCCAAGCGTAACCAAAAAATGGGAGATAGAATCCAATAAAAGCTAGCATGATGGATTTTGGAAAAGATTTTTTATTAACACGAAATTTTAATTTCGCAAATCAGGACAGAAATTTTTCAGGGTGTTACAAGTTTCACCCATAACCATCATTGGAGTGAATCATGACCTTCCACGTGGC